AAAAAGATATTTTCTCTCTATAAAATTTCCTTTTTGACAGAGCCAGTTGGAAACCTTCCAGCTAAACAGATTTGGTTTGCAAAATATTTTGGAAAACATCACTGTTTCAACAAACTTCCTACGACCTCCCGGTGGCTGTGGCACTCAGGCTCTGGGTCCACACCGCTGAGGCGGCTTCACCTCCTGCCTTTTCCCCACGCAGGAGCTATTTGGTGGGTACTGGCATTGAAAAGAGAGGAAGGGAGAAAGAGCATCTCTCCCCCTCGCCTGAAGCAGGCTCCCAGCATGGATTCAGCATGTTGGCCGCCCGCCCCAGGAGACAGGTGATGGAGGGGAGCTCCATCAAAGGGGACCTCCCCTGACCACTAGCAAAATGTACGCAACCTGGCTCGTGGTGGGGAAACCGTACACCGGGCCTGGGGCGGAGGCCTCCTGCACATCCCGGAGAAGTGCCGGCGCCGGGGAGTTTGGCAGCCCCAGCCGCGCTGATTGGAAATGACGTACCCGCTGCCAGCTCCCGCGCTGCCCGCGCTGCCCGCCGGTGTGCTGGCGCGACCCACCCCTGCTACTCTGCCGGCCGGGGGGAGGCAGGAGCGGCACCGATAGGAAGGGTGCCAAGCTCAGGCAGCACTTGCTCAATGTGCTGGGGAGTGTATTTTGGGATGGAGAGGTCAGGTGGTTAATCAAGTGGAAATGGGATGATACACCGTTAAAGCGCCATGTACTCCCTCTGCAAGCGCGCGGGGGCAGGGAAAGACGGGGAGATGCAGACGTGTCCAAAGAGAACATAAAAATATCAGCATTTAGTGTATTGCACAACAGAAAGAGTCGGCAAGCTCCTGATCTTGAGAGCCTGTTTATCTGTTTTGGCAGGGAGCTACGAGCACATCAATCCGGACGCTCAAAAGCGCCTGAAAACTGTGTTTTGCAGCAGCAAAACACGGAGGCAGAATGACAGCCCCGTCGAAGCCCGTGCTGCAAGGCTACCCTATGAATGCTTCTAACTCTATTAACCTACGTCCTATTAAGCTGATTTAAAAGTGGAAATATTAAAAATCGGGGCAGGATACAGCCGTAGTAGGAACAAAGCCATTTTAAATCCCCAGGCTTAAACGCCGCCCTTGACTCCACTCCTGTGTTTCACCGGTTCATGGGAACCCTGATAAACTTGGGCTGTTTTTGGTGGAACGAGATTACGATAGCAAGGACCTTGAAATGTCTCTTAAACAAAGCGTATTGCACCTGGAGGAAGACAAAAGGCTGGCTTGTAACAAAATAATCTCTCAGTCGTTATGTTTCCTACCAATTCAAAGAGCTGATCTTTAAATGATCTCTCTTGCTTTGCTATCAGTGCTAATTCTGCTCCTTCGCTTAAAGATCTCACAGCAATTTTATTACAGCCTCTTGTTTCCAGGGATTTTTGACTTGGTCATAAAAGTGTGGTCCCAGCTGAAACTTAACATATAAGGTTACAAAATTTAAAAAAAAAAAGGGGGGAACGAAAAAAAAGCAAGCCAGCAACGTCAGATATTTTTAAGGCCGTAAAAGCATAAAAAGAACCAGAAGCACGTAGCTTAAAGTGATTACAATGATTATTTGTTTTGCCTAGACAGAAGAAATAGCTTTGTTTTATTTATTTATTTAACCTATGGGTAATTAATAAATCACCGGTTGGAAACATTGTTTGGGCTAATTTGGAAAAAAAAAAAAGTTGTTATTTAACCGTACATGGTTTTGGATGATATTCCTAACCCCACTAGTTAAAAACTTATTTATGGAATTTATTAATGCAACATTAGTACCTCCAAACGAGTACCCTTTTGGCCTGATGACCTACACATTTAAAATATTTCTATTGGACCTGAAAAAAAGGATACTGTAAAGGAATCATATAAATTCATATTTGTGTAAAACTCTACCTACTCTGGATAACATTAACCACTGTAAAATCAGTAACTATGCATTTAGCACCTGGTTGAGGCTGGTGTTAGAAGAAACTCAAACAGAATATATAGAGAGATATATTTATAGTTATTATATCTACCGATTCAAATGCGCATCAAGGCTCTTTCTTAAACTTTTTAAACAACACCCCAGCACAGCTCACGAGCCTCTGCCTATTGTCTTTTCCCCTCTCTGCAGAGGGAGAGGTGAGTTAAGGTTGAAGTGTTGGACAGGTTTGGAGCTGTAACTGAATTTCCTTACTCTCTGCGTTCAGGTCAAATCCCTTTGACATTATATGCTTGGTAGTGGCACAAAGTAGTCTTTCAACTTAAACCATGTGTGATGTGGTGGAAGCTTTTTCTCTCCCCTTCTGTTCCCCTTTGGTCTGTGAATTGGCTATGGTTAGATCTTTTAAATGAACAGGTGTACTTTCTCCCTCCTTGTGATATGAAAGAAGCATAAAACTCGATTATAGCAATTTATGGTCTCTTAACTTGCTTGGACTTGTATCCATGACACAAGCAGCTTTATGCTCAAATTCAGGACTTGGTAAAATAGGAAGTTAAAATTAACCTCAGTCCTTTTATAGATGAAAACCTCAACAAATAAACAGTGGTTTAGTGGCATGGCAGCCTGCCCCTTTAAATCCAAGAACTAGTCTGAGATGTCTATTCTGAGTTAGTTTTGTTTTTTAAAAAAGAATAATTGGACTTGGATGAATAGAGGAGTAGCCCGTGATTCATACCAGTGTGAGTTAAAGCAAAGTTTAATGCTACCACTTGAAGTTAGCAATGTATGGGATTTTTATGCCTTATTTGATGCCCATATAAAAAGCACTCTGTGCTCTCTTCAGTGAGACAGTTTCAACAGAAGCATTTCAAGATACAAAGATGTACGGACAGGTAGCAATGCTACGGAGCAGGTCAGAAGGGTTTCATTTTCGGGGGCCTGCATTCTGAAATGTAGCGCTGTTTATTAAAAATAATAATAAAAAAAGAAAACATCCCAACTCCCTGGAGGTCACACAGAAGATCAGCCTGAAAACCAATCATCCTTCGAACACAGGAAACAATGATGGTGCTGGAGCTCCTTCCCACCCTAGCCCTTTTCCCCGGCTGCGATAGCATGACCCTGAAAAGACGAGCCCTAGAAATTAAAAGGCGTCTGCAGCAGAGACAATCCTGAATGAGGGAGGCTTCAGTTTGGGGCTTATTTTACTGATATCGACTGCAAGCCTCAACAAGTTGCTCAATGGATAACGCGCACATTTTGGAGGCAGAAGAAAAGGGGAACAGGGAGAAAGCAGCCCGAGAGGTGAAGAGGAGGGGATCAATGAGGAAACATTAGCAGTTCGATTGCTACCATTTTCTGAGCTACATCCACAGGTGAAAGGCATTAAACCCTTGTTTGCAAAGAGCAAAGCAGAGCAACGCACTAAAACTGTTTCTGGAGAGAGAGTAGCTGAATCCCCGGCCAAGCGTGAAAAGGCTATCGCTCTGAAGTCGTACCAGCGAGGGACTTTCACAGGGAACCAGGGAAGAGGGATACTTGACGTTAAACCCGATACCCTGCTAAGCATATAGTGTTCCCAAGAAGCCGAAGAATGCAAGTCTGCAACCGATACCTCCACCCACGTAGCTGCTGGCTGCTGAGTAGCCATAATAATATGTGAGTTTTCTTTTATAGGAACAGAGAGCTGTGTGCAGGAGAAATCCAACGCGGTTTGCTCTGCAAATCAGACAACTCCGTGAGGGGACTGCTAGGGGCTGGGAGAGCTGCCGGACTGGGTCCTTCACCTGAGCTGACCTGGCACGGCTCCAGGGAGGGAAGGAGTTGTGTGGTCCTCCCAAATGTCTTTTTGCCCCCCTCTTTCTACAGTACGGCCCGTGGCGATGTGTTGATTTATTTCCCAAGCGTCTCAAAAATGCCCGCTTCCACGCACAGCAAAGTCAACAGCAGATTTGCAGTAGATTTCACTAAGTCCAAGACCTTCCTAGCCCTGGGAATAAAAGGATGTAACAAGAGTTTGCCTTAGGTAAGCGATAACCTTTTCTGCATGCAACAAAGAGTACCCTGGTTTTAAAAAGAAATGCCAAAAAAAGAAGTTATACCGATTTGCGGTAACTATTTCTCCCCCAAGCCCCAGCAGAGGACTTTGACTAAGGCCATTTCATTCTGGCTGGAAGAAGAGAGGAAAACACCATTGGGCAGAGTGCTGGCTAAAATTAATAGTCCCACACCCTCTCTTTAGCTGCATCTCACTATGAATCTGCATTTTGATACGCGTTTTGCAGAAGACGTATCAGCTGACCTGATTCACTGCTCACTGAGTGCCAGCCGATCCCAGGGACAGAGTTGGGTTTAGCAGGGGTGGACTTAGCTCTAGCAGTGGCAGATGAGATGTCTAGCTAGGTGACTTGGTTTCACTGGCATCATCTGAGCCTGAGCCTCAGAGGAAATCAGACTCCTGAGTCACCGTTTTGCAGGTTTTTGTTCAAATAAAGCCCACTGGATAACCACCGGCCACAGAAATACACTCAAACCAGCCTGCCCATATTAACGTCCTAGCACTAAGAGGTCCTCTTCAGGGGACAAAGCACTTTGCAAAGCTTTCTTTGCTATTGCCTTCCTGGGAAATGTCAAAGCCAGGCATTGACGTCATTTCTCTCTCATTCAAGCACACAATGTAATTGATAAATATCCATCGGGAAACACACCTACATACAGAATAAGGCCTGGCATAACGCGTCTTTGCAAGAAAACAACTTTCAAGGCGTTACGGTTCTAGCATAGGTGAGGTTAACAAACACCATGAGCTGTACTGACACTGGGAAGATAAGAAGGAACAGACCCCTTAAAATCCGTTAGGTCTTTAGAAATACAGTCATATGTTAGGAAGGCCTTCTTTCACTCATTAAAGGCTCTCGCTCATTAAAGGTGGCCAAGGAGCGTCCAGAAGAGATGGAGGGACAAGGGGGCAGCGTCTGCGAGCCCCCGCGCTCCACAGGCTGGTGGGGTGGAAGTGGGCGAGCGGGGGGAGGATTTCAGGTACTTACCCTGAATCTGACTCTGAGGCTGAGGGTTAAAAGCAGTGGTGTGGTTCAAGGAGGCTCGTGGGTTGGGTGTGGGGGCTGGGTGGTGTGGGCTGACCCTCATGGCCGTACGACGCAACTGCTCCAGTTCACTCAGGCGCTCTGAAAAGGACAAGCTCCCGGGCTTTGTCTGCTCATCTATTTTCTGACGATGTCCTATTGTGGGAGGGGGGGGAAAAAGATCAGAAAATCTCACTGATACATGAGGTCTGTTGATTTATTTTATTTTTTAAAATTTTTTTTCTCTTATTTTAAACCCCTCATCCACTGGCAAAGTACCTAACCAGCTAGCGGCCGTCTGAAATTAAACTGAAACCACCTCTCTGCAAGAACAGGAGGCACAAGCAAGTCATGCATTGTAACCGTATCGCAGGGCAGCCCAAGACATGGCCTAATCTGAAGAACCAGACCCACTGAAAATTGTAGTGCCTTCTTACACCTCTCCCTGGGAGAGGAGGCGTTTTTAAAAGGAGGGTGGTCTGCAAGGGTCAATACAAAGAGGAACTTCTATTGGCCCGTGTGCTAAACCTGCACTGGAGTAACTCATGAAAAATTCAGTCCCAGATTGTCATAAGGTACCATAATTAGACAAGTACTATGGAGCTGTAAAACAACAAACACAAACAAATTCCATTTTTGGATCCTTTAGCAATGGATTTGCAGACAGAAATAGGAAAGAAACACCAGAAGCTGGCAGAATTGCAGCTGGAGTAATGAAGTTTCTCCTAGTGGCATCGGGAGCTTCCAAAACATGAGGTCCCACCAGACATCCAACTATAAGAAAGTAGATTCTGACATTACAGTATCAGCCAGTGTGCAGCATACTTGGCCATCGCCCCCCAGGGAAGCCCTTGGAGCCCGGTCCCCATGAAGCCCCGGTGCTGCAGCCCCGCAGGGCTGGGAGGGGACAGGGAAGGCACTGGAGAGGCCCAGCCCCAGCGCAGCATCAAGGCACATCCATATTCAGCTGGAAGGGCAGAGACGTATCTCACCATGGGCAGGACTGGTTTCAAGATAAGCCTTAACTAGCAACAATGAGCGGTACGCAAGGACTAAGGTAATGCATTTCTAACTGTTGCAGTGATCGCAGAGATCGACTTTCTTTTTCCCCCAAACCCAATACCATTCTTGCACTTTGCATTTGTCTCAAGAAATCAGCTGCCTCGTGATGTGGCTTATCCCTTCCCTTTTCTTCCTATAGAGCGCTGTTACGCTGACGGGAACGCACATCAAACCTCTAGCCCAGAGGTCAAACACCTTTTTTTCTACTTGTTCTCCTGAAGAAGGTGGCATTAACCTTGGTTTCTGCTGAAGACCATAGTTTGCTGTGAAGAGCTGCCATCTGCAGCTTTCTTTCCATCTCGATCCTCCCCGCCAGGAGGTGGCCAGGGCTGTTCCTACAGTGACTCCTCTCTCAACTCACGGCTACTCATGGCAGTGAAACAGACTGGTGCAAAACTCCTGAAAATAATCCACCATGCCCTATTCCACACAACCCCGTAGTATTTAATACATAAACATTCATCTTCCAGCTTCCAATCTGGAGTATCAGTGAATAAGCAGCAAAAGATCTCTGAAGAGCTTTGTATGCCCCTTACTCTACAGAGTGCTCTTTCAAGCCACCCTAACAGCTCAATCAAGACACAGGACCATTTTATGCACTAAAAGGAAAATGTGCATTTAAAAGCAGTTCCCAGTAGCTACATTTCTAAAATTAAATTTTATAACTTGTATTATGGTTCCAAATCGCAGTGGCTCAGCATTTCTTCCTGTTGCCAGGCCCTTTGGCACAGCTTGAACTGTCTCAGATTCCACACTGTGCTGTAAATTATCCCAAGAGAGGGGAAAAAAAAATTTAAAATATAAAAAGACATTATATAGTAGCGGTTTCATCATTAAAAAGTCCCATTAAGGCTTCCGAAAAAAAAAAAAAAGGAGGGGAGAAAAGAAGAAGGATGAAAAGGACTTTTATCTGACATTCTGGTTGGTCAAGAGCGAACGCTTCATTTATCAGCAGTGCAAAGCTGGACACTGCCTCAAGCCTTGGGCTTCTAACACTGGGCTTGAACGCAAGCACGCGGAGTCGTACAAAATATGTAAAATACCTCATACATTTGGATTATTTTAGGCTTCAGCAGGCTGAACTCAGGGCTTGTGGAGCCAAGAGCCAGGTCCTTCCAAATCCATCCCCCTGATGTAATTTATTCCTAATTTCAAATTCCGCTCAGACATCTTCTGCTTTTAAGTGAGTGCACCAGTCCCAGGTTTGACCTCCCGCTACTCTACTTTCTCCTCCTACCTCCCCGGTGCTGCCCTCCTGGCATCCGGGGTTTTGTCTGCCTGGCACGAAACCAAGCAGCCCGGCAGCACGAGCCGGTGGGCTCGCAGCCTCGCATGGGGGCGAGCGGTTCCTCTGAAGCCAACAGGACAAGGGCTGCAGTAAGGCCAGCGAGGCAAGAATTAACTTTCCCCTTTGAATCTAGCTCAGGCACTAAATTTGTGTCGAGCTGGCACAATGCCGGGCAGGGCAGACAAACCCAAGCTTGCTCTGAACATCCCAGCTCACAGGCAGCAAGCAGGGCAAATTAACCCAGACACAGCATCCTCCTGAGGGCACCGCAGGGCACCCCGCTCCCAGACCAGCTCCTCCCAAGCTGACAGGAGTGTCTCTGCATCTCTCCACCACGCATCCTCCAAGCAAAACTCCTGGACCCCTCCACCCAGCCCTGCATTGCCCCAGATCATCCTGC